TAGGAAGAACCACCTTCAGAACACGGCCAAGAAGCCCGAAAAACCCACAACAACCATTAGATCCCGGCCGTGAAAGCCTTCGCAAATACAATGGGAGAGTTGTCAGCCTAGCTCTGAAACCAGGCACAAAAGAGAAGCAGCGGCAGGTAAGAAGATTTCTGATTGGGTGTGTGTGTGTGTGGGGGGGGTGTTGCTGCTCATCAGCTGACTTGTGGATGGTCAGCTGAAGGACTGGAGAGGGGAGTAAGTCTGGGTGAGTGAAGGTCTGCCTGCTTAGCTGTCTCTGTGCATGTATGAATGCTTGGCTGTGTGCCTCTGTGCATGGTTATAAAACCCATTTTGCTCTAGCTCTGCCTGTCACCTCTATTTCCACCCATCACTACCTGCTGTGCCTCCTGCCTCACCAATCTCATCTGCCAGGGCCCTTGAGCAAACTGATATACACAGGAAAATAGGAGGTGGTTTTGTGTGTATGCAAAGAATTGCAGTGCCCAAAACACATACCCACTTGCATTCTCAAGCATGTGGCAGGGAGGCACCAGCTTTCCCTCCTACCTGCCCTATTCTCCCAACAACCCTACAAGATAAACCGGGCCAAAAGACAGAGTATGATGGTCTTAAAACCTTGGGCTACAAACCCCAGAATTCCCAAGTAAGCATAATCACTAGCTATGCTTGCCAGAGAATTTTCGGAGCTGTAATTCCCACAAAACAATTTTGCCCAGATCTGCCAAGCACACACAGTGAGCTTACAAGCTGAGTCGAGATTGGAATCCAGGTATCTCTGAACCAACCCAACATTCCAGCGGCTGTGTCACACCATGTTTCTGGAAAGAGCATCATGTCTCCAGAAATGGCATCTTCCCTCTACGAGCCATCTCTGATGCCTCCATGAACAGTGTCCAGTTGCTGGCAGTGGTACTTCTGGGCCAAACATTAGACAACCACTGCAACTCGGGAGGATGGGTGCCCTTATGAATTGGGCCAAGGGCCAGGGTTCTGCTTCCAGCCAATGATACCCAGCAAGAGGTAGGGACATGGCAAAGATGTTGCGCCTGCCCACAGGAGTTTGGCGGCTGGTGCAGGTGACTGAGCATTAAAAAAACCACTGCTGCTAACTGCTCTGCAGCCCTTGGACAAAAAAAGAAAACTAAGCTCCATGGTAATGTCCATCCCTTAAAAGTCACCTGTTCTCAGAAATAAGAGAACAAAGATGCAAATGGCAAATAACTTCTTTCTATTTAAAGAAACACATTTCTGGACAATTTCTTATCTGAAATAAAAAGTCCTTTTCCACATGGAGGAGAGAGAGAAAGAGAGAGAGAGAGAGAGAGGGCACCTACTCACCCATACACTGCCCTCTCACAACTGTGCACAGTACTCTATGTGATATAACAATGTATGTATGCCATCATTTTTGTGGCTGCTCTTCCTTCCTCTCTCTCTCTCTCTCAGCTAGCAGTACGACCTTCCTCTCTCTCTCTCTCTCTCAGCTAGCGGTAGGGAACTGTGCTCTTCTAGGAGATGCCTTTCAACTGCAGTTTCCACCACTCATTATACTGTTTAGAGCTGTTAGAAGTTGTAAGCCAAAAACTCACAGAGCCAAACAATTGCCCAAACTTGCTGTAAGTAACATACAAGTCCAACCTACTTTACTATGCTAGATATTAATCGTGGACTCATTCTCTGAGTATAGGTCCTGAAGTAGTTGAAATAATACCATCCACACACAAGGGGGGGCGGCATCCACAGACTTGGGGAACGCTGAAGGTTTGCAGAGGAAGTAAAAAAACAAAACAGGTAGGAAAGCCCTACAGTGTTAATGAGAACTGACCCTGTGCAATGATGATGGGCTGGCTGGATAGCTCTGTGGTTTAGGTATCTGGCTGTGGAACCAGAGGCAAGGAGTTTGATTTCCCACTGTGCCTTCTAAGAGAAGAGTCAGTCTGTGTGGCCTCGGGCAAGCTGCACAGTCTCAGGACAACCCCATGAGAAGGGAAGAGTAAACCAGATCTGAGTATTCTCTACTTCAGTGGTTCTTAACCTTGGGTTACTCAGTTGTTTTTGGACTGCAACTCCCAGAAGCCTTCACCACCAGCTGTGCTGGCTGGGGTTTCTGGGAGTTCCAGTTCAAAAATACCCAAGTAAGCCAAGGTTAAGAACTACTGCTCTACCTGGAAAACCCTGAAAAGGGTCTCCATAAGTCCAAATTGACTTGATGGCACACTATACATAATGTTGATGGAATTCTGAATACTAGGTATAGGTGGTGGGGTGATGGAAATAGGGAGAAGGGACAGAATGGAGTGGTGTATACAAGAAATTAACATAGTTGGCTCAAACATTGAACAGGAACAATGCACACTGCAGCACTTTGTTGCCAGTGGCGCTTGTCAATTTTTATTGTTATCTTAGCAATAATGGTGTGTCTTCAAGTCAATTCTGAAGGGTTTCCTAGGTCTAGAGTTTCCAGGTGTGGTTTCCCATTCCCTTCTAAGATGGTGCAGCTTGCCCAAGGCCTCACAGGCTGGCACTTCTTCCAAGAGGCTCAGTGGGGAATTGAACCCCCAACTTCTGGCTCTGCAGCCAGATACCAAACTCACTATCCAGCCAGTGTTGCATTTTAGATTAAATGACAGCCATGGGTGATGCAATGGTTGGCAACTCTAAGTCTGTTGCCTCCCTGTTTGCCAGTCCTTGTTGAGGAAATATTAGGTGGGTGGGGATCAGAGGTAAGGGGTAGGCTAGCCATTAGCAGGCCATGATCCCTGCAAGAAGGAACACTTCCCCCTGAATTTTGAACTGGTTCCTCCTTCCCCGCCCACAGACTACGAATTGCCACACTGTTTAATACAGGAAAACAGTGCTAGCCTCACCGTGTCTTGGTTCCTCCGTGGTGGTTTCCATGACTTCTCACCAGTATCTGGCTTGTAAAAATAACTGCGTAGGGAGCTGGAATCTATGTGCTGTTCCCAGGCTTCAAGCACCTGGAGTGGGGGGCTCCGAGGACTGGGGGGCAACGTTGCAAATTGTTTTATCTCCTCCAGATTGCAGTATATTGGAGGCGTATCCTTATGAGGACCAGGGTGAGGCAGGTGAGTATCGCCCAGCATCTGTGAGAAGAAAACAAGTAGGCCTCTCTTTTTTAAAACTTACTGCAGAGGCAGGATCTCCTCACCACGAGAACAGTTAGTGAGAAACAGTATGGAATTCCATGGTGACCCCAACAAAGAATTCTGAATACTGTACTAGAATTTCAGAATAAGCATCTTCCATTTGCTCAGATTGCAGCTCTCTGCCTGTGGTACTTCAGGCATTTTGGATTTCAGTTCCCACCAGCCTCACATAGGACAGCCTTGGTAAGATGTCCTGGCGGATGAAGTCCAAAACATCCAGAGGACCAAAGGTTTCCAAGCACTGATGAAGGGTGGCCTTAGCTTTCTTGGGGGGATGGGGGGGTGAAGTTACTCCACACTTCTATACCTCTTTCAAATAAATGTATTGAAACAAATGGATCTGAAACATGCCTAAAGGCAGAGGGCGTGTCTAGTTTTGCCAAAGCTTTAGGTTATAACGGCACAAATGCTGGTGGCATTGTTAGATAATTTGAAGACCCTAGACAGTGCTCTTAGGCAGCACCAAGTTTAGACTGCCATGTTTTTATACATCTATTATAAAGCACACAACAAAATGTCTCTTTTCTCCTCCCTCATCACCCAGACAAGGCTTTAGCTGCTTCAACATTCTTGATATGTTAAACCAACAAAACAAAAATACTGTTTGCCAACAATGATTTTAAAAAACCCTCAAAGGATGCTTCCAGATAAATAGGTTTCTGCCACCCATTTCTGAAAGGTATGGTTCAGCTGTTACGCCTTTTTTTCTTCTCCAGATTGTCATTAATTAAACAAATGGAGGAAGTCTCTTTGTGTCTGTGAAAAATATTTAAAAAGGAACATCTGTATCCAAGCATTAGGTTCTTGCTCAACCCCCCCCCAACTAACAAATGGCTTTTTAAAATCAGAAAATATTGCTGGCAGCATTGGTTCCATCCAGCAGGTCCTGCATGCCTCAGTACTGGCCCAGCTACAGACAATCATCATCATTATCCATCTTAAAATCACAGAGCTGGAAGGGACCCTATGGATCATCGAGTACAGCCCCTGTCAAGGAGGCCCAGTGGAGAATCAAACTCCCAACCTCTGGCTCTGCAGCCAGAGGCCTAAACCACTGAGCTATCCAGCAGTTCTATAATTCTGCTGGCTGTTGCCATTATCCCCTGCCACTCTATGGATGGCCATGGGTGGTCCTATGAGACATAGGGAGCCTAGACTGGGCTTTAAGGTCCAACCCTATTTGCAGCACTATCTGCAGTTTGTGCTTACACACAACCACCTTACCCCTCCTTGGCCCCAAGAGAAGCATACCCGGACCACCAACCCAACCCTCATCTACAAACCTTCTCAGATTCTGCCCGGTTCAGTGCTCGTCTTCCACGATTCTTCTAATCCCAGGCTTTCTGCATTTTTTCCTCCCAAAAATGTCCCTCCCTGCACTAGATGGCCCCTTGAAGTCAACGCAGGGCCTTCATTTTGTCCTCAGTCCTACCCAAAGGCATTGCTTAAGATCCAGAGGAAGCTGAAAAGTCTTGCTTCATTGCCAGCAGTTGTCAGGAGTTCACCAGATGTTCGGAAAGCCTCCTTTTCTGAATTTTCTCTCAGTTCCACGCACACATTTCCTGAATCGACCTTCTAACTTCCTCTCCTGTTTTCCGGCCTTTAATTCCACCTGAAGCTTTAAGGCAACCCCACACCCTCATCAGCCCAGCAACTTACTGCTGTCAGAGCCTGGGTCCCTGGTGGTGTTCAAAGGCACACCCGGAAGGGTAGGTCCTCCCACCAGCTTTCCCAACATCCTGTGTGTGGGTGCAGCTTCCCACCCCCTCTCCATCAGAGACGAGGCAAAAAGGGGAAGTGGCGCCACGCAAGTAGGCAGATGTTCAACTATGCTGTGAAAATGCGAGCCTGTCGTGAGCTCGATAGGAAGCACAGAGAGAGAGAGAGAGAGAGCGTTGTGGTCCCAAAACGTCGATAGGAAGCACAGAGAGAGAGAGAGAGCCTTGTGGTCCCAAAACAGACCACAAAGAAAGTGTATATGTGTGGCTAAGAAGGCCTCAGCTTCAGGGCAGTTAAGTTTCACAGTCTATATTCCCTTATTTAGGGTGCTGGACATAGGAATTAGTTATTTGTGGGCATGCTATGAGTTGGGTTGACACACCTCAGGCCCTAAAGGCCAATACAACCCAAATGGAATCTCATTCTGACCCTCTTAACTTCTCCAATTTGCCAAGCGTCTTCTCTATTCCATTTTTATTTGGTGGTTTGGTATAGCTTTTCCCCCTCCCCACCTATTCCATCTTTTCCTCCTTTGTCACTATTTTGTGGCATGAAAAAAAAAGACAGAAGAAACTGAAGAGAGAAATGGGAGGATTACATTTCTAGCCAGAAGCATCTCTAAATAGATGGCTTATTTTTTCAAGAAAAACATAAGTATCATTTTTTTTGCCTAGACATAAAGGAAGACCCATCGCATAATATACATCCAGATAGATGGGCCTGGAAGGCACTGCAGAGAAAACAAGCAATGTTGAATAAAGGGCTGTTTGGAGTCGCCTGCACTAACAGCCTGTGCAACTGCTGGCTGGACCTTAATCTCCAGTTGCTTCCAGCATTACAGCACCCAACAATGGCTGGCAAACAGGGAAGTGATAAGCCTAGCATTGGACGGCAATCACTCACGGCTGTCATTGACTCAGAATGTGTGAGGAGGCAGATTGCAATTAAAAAGTGATAGCAAGATCAATCAGGTTTATCCATAGCCCAGAGAGACAGATCCTTTTTACAAACACTGCTAATTTTGCAATTGATTCTAGGTAAGAAAACAGCAAGGGTCTTCACACACTGCACAATTAATGGAATTAATTAGTGGAAGGTGCAGAGGGCATTGTCAGAGTTGGCCCTGCCACTAGGCAAAAGTAAGACACTTCTGAAAGGACAGCAGGTTTCTTAGTGGCTGAAATCCTATTGCTTAAAATCAGTAAGTTGTAACTTTCCGAGCCAGATTCAAGGTTTTAGTACGAACTTATAAAGCCCTTGACAGTTTGAGACCCTGCTACCTGCTGGAGCGTCTTCCCCAAAGAACTTCTGCCCATGCCACCTATCCTCCCAGGCCTTACTCTTATAGATGGACAAGCCAAGAGAGGCAAAGACGACTTCCACTAGGAATCAAGACTTCTTGGTCATGGCCCCATCTTTGTGAAGACCTGCAGTCATAAGATCGAATCCATGTGACAGAGTGGGCCCCCGTCGCTTGTCCCAGCTCCCACCAACCTAGCAGTTCAAAAGCACGCAAAATGCAAGTACCTGTAGATAAATAGGTACCACCATAGTGGGAAGGTAACAGCGTTCCGTGTCTAGTTGCGCTGGCCACGTGACCACGGAAGATTGTCTTCAGACAAAATGCCAGCTCTGTGGGTTGGAATCGGAGATGAGCACCACCCCCTAGAGTCGGACACGACTGGACAAATTGTCAAGGGGAACCTTTACCTTCCCTCTGCAATAGTTATGGATTTTGATCACCTATTCTGCCATCATATGGGTTTGCTGCCATTGGATTTTAACTTTTATTGGCGAAGGTAATTTATTGTGGGTGTTTCATTGGAGAGGATAGATTTTCTTATACTTAGCGTTAACCAGCCACAGTAGTGCACATCACTAAGTCAGTTGGTATAAAAGTATTTAAATAAACAAACAAATTAGAGTAGGCCCATTGAACCAATGGAACTCACAGAGGAGTGCACTCACCAATCCCCATTGATTCAATGGGCCTACCCTACTAAGCTAAGCAGCAAGATTTCAACCATTTATCATCATTACTGAATTTTTACTGCAAGAGGGAGTAGAGATGATTGTGAGATTTCCTGCTTCATGTGCTGCTTTCCACTATGATGGGGCAAAGGAGAAGGATGTGAGAATCATCTACTATTCCACATCAGACAACCCAGTGTCTTGTGCCAGTTCATCCAAAGCCAGTTTGAAAGCCATCTCCAGGGGGATATAGTAATGGTGACAGCTGACTTTATGAAGGCTTGTCAAATAGGCATTAGACGGACTGTTCCTTTTTTTAAGGATTCCATAAATTAATGCAAGGGAGATTTCTCAGTGGTTATGAACCAGACAATTACTCAGCTAAAGCTCCATGTTCAAAGAGATTGTATGCCTCTGAATACTGGATGCCAGACTCAGATGACAAAAGAGGCTTGTGGATGTTCTGCTTCTTTTACACGTTTCCAGAAGCTTACAATTGGATATTGTTAGAGTTGAAAAATATATTATTTCTTGCTCCTCTATAGAACACCATGCCAGGGGTGGGTATAGAAATCAGATCTGGCTCTACTAGTAGATCTCAGGAAGATCTGCAGCAGGTCAGTTGGGAGGAGTTCTGGCTACACAGAAGCTAGAAATGAAATGTTCCTGCCCCTCACAAAAAAATAAGTTGCTGAAATAAAAATGCTGTTGTGCAGGAAGAAGCAAGTTTATTTGTTAAAGATCTAAGACAGTGGTGTCCAAACTACATCCTGTGGGCCATATCTGGCTCACCTTGCCTTTTTATCCAGCCCGGGCATAGGAAGAGGAGCAAAGGGGGACCCAAATGATCTCCCACCCCCGCTGTCTTTGCAAATACAGCAGAGGTGATGGATCAATTAGATCAGGCTTCGCTCCTCTTCCTATCCCTGCTCGGGCATAGGAAGAGGAGGAAAGGTGGACCTAAGCAATCCCCCTACCCATGCTGTCTTAAGACAGCGGGGGTGGGGGTGGGGGATCACTTAGATCAGGCTTTGCTCCTTCGGCATTCAGAAATGTGTGAAATATATGATGTGGCCCCCATACTGAAAAGTTTGCAGATCCCTGATCTAGGAGATCAGCCCTGGTCTTTCTTGAAAACAATTTCTTGAGCTGAGTGTGAGGCATCTGGTCCTTAATTCTTACTTATGTGTACCTAATTTGGGTCATCATTTTGAGCATTGTGCAACATTGTTGCATCCACTTCTGGTTGAAGGATTTCAAAATTCTGAATCAGAACAATAAAAACAACAAGAACAAATCCAAAACAGATCTTTCAAGTTGGCAATTATATACATCTAGTCACCAACAGTCATTATCCAGCACGGTGTAGTGGATAGAGTGACGGACCAGGACTCTGGAGTACCAGGTTTGAATCCCTGTTCAGCCATTGAAACTCAGTTAGGGGCGTGGAACTGGTAAAACCACCCCTTGAACATCTCACTTATCTTGAAAACCTTATAAGTTGGTTCCAACTTGATGACATGAAGCAACAACAAAGACCAACATTGAAAAAAAAATGATCTCACCTCTTCGTTGTTTGCCTGTATCACTACATCTTCCTCTGAGCTTTGTTCCTGCTTTCTATCCATCCTGTTTCTCTGGGACAAGACACTCGTGCTACGGCTTCTGCTAAGCAACAAGTGATGAGATCCCATCATAGTCCGAGGGAGACTACGGCAGGCCATGAGCCTTGTGTGGAAAGACGGTGGGTGAGATTCTATGTACAGGTCCTCCATAGAATAAGACACCATTTCTGCAGATGGTAGAAAGAAGAATGGCAGCATTAGATGCATCAAACAAAATCACCTGGGAAAAGGTACACTGGGCAGATTCTGCCCCTACCCAGAGAATAGTATACTGTGCACTGTAGTCTTTCCCAACCCAGCACCTCCAAATGTGCTGAACTATAGTTCCCATTAGCCTGCCAGCATTGCAGTGCTGCCTGGGAGTTGTATTCCAACTTATGCAGAGGATTCTGGTTATAGATTCCTGAGGAAGTCCTTCAGCTCCATTGGTGATGTGATCTAATTAACTCTGGCCTAGCTGATCCTTAAACCCAAGACCAATCAATGCATCCCATGCACCTACTGTTCTCCATGGCAACCAAATCCACATTCCTAGTTGTTGGCTAACTCTTTTGCAGGCATTACATCTTAGCACTTAGCTAGCTGATGTGACCACAAGATGCATTTGTGAGTGGAGAAGCCAGAGACCCTGTTTCTCCTTTTGACTCCTTGGCCTCTAGTTCCTCCTGTATCTATTGTTAGACTAACACTGCTCTCTCTCTCTCTCTCTCTCTCTTCTTTTCAGGAAAAAAAAACAGACATGCTGGTGCCCGTCTTCCTTGTACCTTCTAAGGCACTTGTCTGTATATTTAGAATTAGGGTTAATGCTTTTCTATTTTGAATGCAACCAGTACGCTGATGACACACAGCTCTACATCTCTTTTACTCCAACTTCAGTGGATGCCGTCCAGACCCTTCAGCGCTGGCTGGACACCGTATTGGAATGGATG